CGGAACGAATCGACCGCGCGCGGCGCTCCGGTGGCGTCCCCCCCCCCAGGCGGCTTCCCATCGACGGCGGCTCCCGTTGAACCCAGCTGGCCGCCCCGCGATAACAGCGGGTGCGCCGGGGACGCCTCGGCCGCGCCCCACCCCTGCCTTCCGCGGACAGGGGTCGCGTGCAGATTGGGGGGGGCCGGGGAAACGCCTCCAGGCTTCCTGCGCCCCAAACGTTCTCTGTGCCGGTGTGTTCTCCTCCACACGCCCCCCCCCCACCGCTGGGCGGGTGGCAGTGGGGCCGGAGAGTGGCCGTGACCGAGTCACACCTGTGGTGGTGACGCTGGAATTTGAACCCAGATATTCGGGCTTGTAAACCCAGGCTGGGCGGAGTCTGCCCGGGGGTGGGGCCTCGCCTGGGGGCGGGCACACCGCAGGACACGCCCACTTGCAACCACGCCCACACACAACGGTGCTGGCTACGCCCGCCGCCGCGGCGCGCCACGCCCACACACAGAGGCCACGCCCACGGCCGGCCTTGCCCGGCAGGTCGGGACCCCGCGGACTTGTAACCTCTGCCGGCCCCTCGGGGCGGCCGAGTGCCCGCTATTGTACAAGGTGAACCTGGTGAGGGTAATGGCGCTGTCCCGGGCCGGCAGGGGCCTGAAGATGGGCCGAAGGACCCAGGCCCGGCGTTTGTCGGATCCCCGGTGGAGGAAGGGGACGGAGTCGGCCAGCAGGGGCCGCAGTGGCCACTTCCAGGTTCACCAGGTGAGGGCCTGCTGCCCGCACTTCTGGGCCCCTGCAGACCCCCGGAACCCCTGCAGACCTCCGGAAACCCTGCAGATCCCCGGAGCCCCTGCAGATCCCCGGAACCCCTGCAGATTCCCGGAACCCCTGCAGACCCCCGGAGCCCCTGCAGATCCCTGAAGCCCCTGCAGATCCCCGGAGCCCCTGCAGACCCCCGGAGCGCCTGCAGATCCCCGAAGCCCCTGCAGATCCCCGGAGCCCCTGCAGACCCCCGGAAACCCTGCAGATCCCCGGAGCCCCTGCAGACCCCCGGAGCGCCTGCAGATTCCTGAAGCCCCTGCAGATCCCCGGAACACCTGCAGATCCCTGGAGCCCCTGCAGATCCTCGGAAACCCTGCAGAACCCCCAGAAACCCTGCAGATCCCGGAACCCTGTAGACCCCCGGAACCCCTGAAGATCTCTGGAGCCCCTGCAGATCCGCGGAACCCCTGCAGCTCCCCGGAACCCCTGCAGATCCCCAGAGCCCCTGCAGCTCCCCGGAACCCCTGCAGATCCCCGGAAACCCTGCAGATCCCCGGAAACCCTGTAGACCCCCGGAAACCCTGCAGATCCCCTGAGCCCCTGCAGATCCGTGGAGCTCCTGCAGATCCCCGGAGTCCCTGCAGATCTCCAGAACCCCTGCATATCTCTGGAACCCCTGCAGATCCGCGGAACCCCTGCAGATCCCCAAAAACCCTGCAGGTCCCCAGAGCTCCTGGGGTG